ATAACAAATTAATTAAAAAGCTATGTCAGTGCCTTTCCTCTTATGACTCACGATATAGTTGAAACGTGTGTAAAGGGTCACTATATAGATCCCACTCTTGACAGGTTTTATAAAAGTCTCTTTATTCTGCTACATCTCTCCTTACCATTGTCTTCAGATCATGCTTTTTGACCTAGGGTCTGTCTTCCATAACAAAAGCACTGCATCTGTCAGTTCAGGGGTGACCTCCTCTTATGTCCATGTCTTCTTTATTTGTTGTATGACTGGGGGGGGACTAGGTAGGTAAATTTAAAAAAAAAAAAATACCAAGAAATTCCCTGGGAACCTGGGAATTTGCTGAGTCTCTACTTTGTAAAAGCAGCCCAGATCAGCAGGTAGGACTTTCCCAGATCACAGCACACAGGAACTTCCACAGACCCTCTCTGGACCTCCATTTGCTCAGCTGTAAAACGGGGGGGATGCCTGCCATGCCCACCTCACAGGATCCTTTGGAAAATCAGTCACAGTGGCAGATTGCTTTTCTGACTGGAATGCCATTTCACTGTGTTAACAGAACAGTAACTGTAGACGAGAGACCCATCAGAGGTGGTTTGGCTGGGAGAATTTTCTCTATGTTCTCAATGAATTAAATTGCCTCCACAGCTGCTATTCCTGGACTTGGGCCCTATCCCAATACCTGCTTTCTTTTGCTGGAGAAAACTAAACTGTCCGTCAGTCTTCACTGCCACCCAGTGGTCTGTTGGCCACATAACACCAAGTTGTCCAGTGGATTTGGAAAATCGGAAAAATAGTTCAAAATAATTCAGACTACTTAAATCCACTACCTGATTAAATGTATTTGGGGCCCCCATTAAAAAAACTTGTAGAAAAATCAAATAATTAAGTTGTGGTATGAATAATAAATACCTAATTTATCTTTGTAAATTAAGAAATGTACACATGAATCAACATTTTCAGAATAATTTCTAAAAACAATCTCTTCTTGTCCAAAGGCATTTATGAGACTGCACTAAATAGCTTAATTGCTTAATAAAAGTCTCCAAATGCAGGTAAAATACTTAACATTAAAATAAATTCATGCAGTTAAACACAATTATGATACTACAGTGGCATTTTAAACTGACAATAAGCAATGCTCACTCCTTGATCCCAAACCTTTGATCCAATCACTCCTCTACAGTTGAAAGGCAGAAACATTCCATTGTCACTCAAATGCATTTATAACTTTTCCCTTTTCTGCACTCTGGAAATACATATCATGAATACTTGTGAAAGGGAGGGAACAGTTCTTTCATCTCAGCTGTCATTTCTCGGATTAGTGGTAACTTCCAACCATTAAAATAAGAAAGGCCTCCCTGTCCCCTCTGGAAGGTGTCCACCATGGTGTTCTGAGGTCACTGCTGCTCCTGGGATGACCTTCCAGAGATAGGCCCAAGCTCTCGGAGATGCACGGTGGGAAGAACTCCGGGTTCAAGGTCAGCAGCCATGGTGCCTATTCAAACTACAGAGTTGGTCTAGATTCTCACTTCATTTTTTTCTCAAGGCCCATCTCCCCACTGAGCCCATTTAAAAGAAACGAATTCTACCCTGGCCTGGTGGTGCAGTTGGTTGAGTGTGGTCCTGTGCCCCCGAAAGATTGCAGGTTTGATCCCTGGTCAGGGCACACATCTAGGTTGCGGGTTCAGTCCCAGGTCGGGGTAGGTTGGGGTGTGAACAAGAGGCAACTGATTGATGCTTCTCTCTCTCTCACTTTCTCCCTCCCTTCCTTCCTCTGAAATCAATAAGCATATCCGCAGGTGAGGATTTAAAAACATTCTAACTCTAAATCGTGTCAGTCTTTTTTAAAGCTCTTGTGGAGGTGATGAGAAAGAGGGGGAGATGTACCCACTTTCTAGAAGCACATCCACTCCTCCTCCTTAGAATCCCACGCATCATGGCACCTGCCACCCAGACTCACTTCTAAACCTCCAGCTCCCCTCCCTTTCACTCTGGGTATTTTCCTTTATTCTATGAACAGCTATATAGCCCTTCAATAGCCCTCCTGTGTCCCAATGAGTGCCTCTAGAAAAGCAAGGGGAAAGTGTGGGGGCGATGGAGGCCAGAGAAGAGCAGCTTCAAGGAGGAGGTGGTGGCCGACATTGCCACAGCTTTTGGCAAGTGAATTAACCCTCTATGGCCTGAGTTTTTCTCCCTCCTCCTTTCTCCCTAATAGCAGCCTCGGTGATGCACTAGTCTGAACACTAAACTTCTTTTACCCTTATGCCCTAAGGACGGTCATCTTCTCACTTGGGAGGCTGTCTCTCCACACGAGGCAGGCCTGGAAGTGCGCGGGAGGTGTCTTAGTCTGCAAGCTGCTGCAGCAAAAGGCCACAGGCTGGGCGGCTCAACCAACATAGATGACCTCTCACAGTTCTGGAGGTGGGGAAGCCCAAGGTCAAGAACTGCAGAGATCAGTTCCTGGTGAGAATACTTCCTGGCTTGCAGGCCACCTTCTCACTGTGTCTTCACATGAGAGCGAGTGAGAGAGAAAGAGCGAGCGAGTGCTCTCTGCTTTTCTGTATTATAAATGTGCTAATTCTATTGGAGTAGGGCCCCATTCGTATGACTCCATTTAACCCTAATTACTTCCTTACTCCAAACGCACACTGGGGGTTCAACCTCTGTATTTGTCGGGGCATAATTCAGACCATAGCAGAAGGTAACAGCCAGGAAGAAATGGGACCTTATCCTGCTTTGGGGTAGCAAAGCCATACTTGACCTCCCATCCTCCGACATACACCAAAGAGCTCTGGTTTCCTGGGCACTGTAGTCTCCAGGGCAAGAGGGAGAGGGTGGGGTGAGCGCTGAGATGTGTTGGGGCTCTCCCTTGCAGCAGGCCTGTGGTGCCTGAGCCTTTCTCCTCACTGGTTCTCAGAGCAACCTCACCAGAGACGGCCCCGTTCTGCTGGCTGAGAGACGAGTGATCTTCAGACCGTCCCAGTGGTCCTGACAGAGCAGATCTGAGTGCCTTTCACCTTTCAGCGTGCCATGAGGAGTGGACGCACGATGCCCAGCAGGGGCGAGCCCCCTGGATTAGAGGGCACAGTGAGCCCTACAGGGGTGTCTTCTCTGATCCTCATCAGTGAAACTGGGTAATAATGCTTCATCTGCAAGGTTGTTCTGAAAATTAACTGAGATCACGGGTGTGAGCCTGCTGGCGGAGCCAGGGCTCAGCGAGGCTGGTTCCCTCCTCGGCTTCCCTCTGAGGCAGTTTCGCTGGAAATAACTAAGCATCTGCCAGCCTCCAGCATGAAAGATTACAGGGAACAAAATGAATGACAACTACGGTCCTTTTCCTTACCCAGCCAAAAGCCTTGCTCTCCCAGGCCCTTGGCAGGGCTCAGTACAGACAGCCACTGCCCCCACCACCTTGGGACACCCGTCCCAGCCTTCAAAGCTTCAGGCTTCAATTTCAGCCTCAGGGACGCCCTGCACACCTCCAACGTCCCATCAGTCCCGTCGCTCTCTGCCTCGACAGCATCTCCAGCGTCAGGTTCCTCCTCTCCGTCCATCCCACATGGACTCGCTTGGGGCACTAAAGCATCTCTCACCTGCACACACAGCCACAGCCCCTCTTCTAGTCCGACTGCTCCAGGCCCAGTTCTGTGCCGCTGCGGGCTCTCTTCCTCAAACGCAGCCTCATTCCATTGCCCTCCTCCTTCAGGATATCTACCCTCAAGGTGGCATCCTTGACCTTCATCCTTCAGGCTGGCTCTCCTGCCATCCCAGGACACACTGAGCCCTTCCCCTCCAGCTCCTTGTGTGCCTGCCCTGCCAGGAGTGCCCCTCCCCCTCTCTGCCTCAAAGGCTTTGTTTTCCCGAGCAGCTCCAACGGCACCTGGTCTAGGAAGCCTTCCCCCACCCACCACATCCTGCTGGTTTTCACAGCATTCTGACCATTTCCACATCGTGTTACCATGAGCTGTATCCACTTCTGTCTTCCTGGCCAGACCGAGACCCCGGGGAGCAAGTTTTGTGTTCTCTTCCTCTTGACCTGATTCAATAGACGCTCAATAAATGTTTTGTTGACTGAATGATGCTCCTTTTGTTGTGAATAAAGTCTTGTATGTTATAACATCAATCAACATTCAATGTATCTGAAAATTACCCGTCAGATGTTTTTCTCTCACCCTGTATTAACTGGTCATCTTTCTGAACGTTAAGCCCTAGAAATGAACTTCTTTCCATCCTTGTAGGCTCCATGCCGATTGGCTGACTGGCGCACTGACTTTCCAATGCACCAAAACCTGCACGCGGGCTCCACACACAGCTCCCTCGAGTACCCGGATCTGCCTGTCGGATGTGCTTTGTCAGCAGGGATGGGCACGAGGTGGGAGGTGCACCTGGCGTCACGGCTCAGATTTGTTTTCCTGGCTGTTTGGGATGCTGAGATGGTTAATAAGCAAGTCAGCCTCAGGATTCAAAATGCAGCAATAAATCCTGAGATACAAATCAAAATCCTTCAGCAGAGCCTGTAGGAAAAACCTGTGCTGTCCCTAATCCCCCCTAACCCCTAAGGATCACTGTGTTTTCCACCATGGTAAGTGGAGTTTAGGACCAGATTGGAGGCAATATCGCAGCCCCTGAGAGTGAGAGGCTGGTGTACTTCCCCCCTTGGAGATTTCCTGACTCTATGCAAAGGATTTAGCCAGAGGAGGAGCCCTGGAGGCTGCACATGCCCTGTTTAAATGACAGCAGTACCTACCTGCCTCCATGTGTATGTACTTGAGCTTCCTAATGCAACCCAGCCTGGAGGGGACAGAATACAAGTGAGTGTAGGGCCACCCCTTCAGACCGGTAAGTCTGCAAGTCCTCTTGTTGAAGACTGCTTTGTCCTTGAGTCAAATTCTTTTTCTCCTGAAGCTGGTCTCTCTCAAACAAGGCCTCTCACCAGACTCTGGGAGAGTGTCGGACCACACACATCACACAGAGCTGACTGCCAGATGCAGGCAGAGGCTACCATGCACGGAGGTCATGCTGCTCTGAGGTCCGTTTTGTTTCCTCCCAGGGGGAGCAGGAGCAGGAGCAGCTGTGCTCCCAGAGGGAGCTCCCAGGAGATGAAGAAGCTGGACACTAACGCCTCAAAGGAACAAGGCTTCTGCCCGCTCTCGGAGGACTACAAGCAAACCTACCTCTCCCTGACCTACAGTATCACCTTTGTGCTAGGGCTGCCCCTGAATGGCACTGTCTTGTGGCTCTCCTGGCACCAAAGCAAGTGCTGGAACTGTGCCACCATCTATCTGGTGAACCTGATGGTGGCCGATGTGCTTTATGTGCTGACACTGCCCTTCCTCATCATCACCTATGCCCTGGGTGACAGGTGGCCCTTTGGGGAACTACTCTGCAAGCTGGTGCACTTCCTGTTCTACACCAACCTCTATGGCAGCGTCCTGCTGCTGACCTGCATCTCCATTCACCACTTCCTGGGTGTGTGCCATCCCCTGACCTCGCTGCCCTACCGGACCTGCCCGCACGCCCTGCTGGGTGCAGCTGCCACCTGGGCCCTGGTGGTCTTGCAGGTGCTGCCCACACTGGTCTTCTCCCACACAGGCTACATTGATGGCCAAGGTGGTCTGCTACGACATGACCTACCCAGAGAATTTTGATCAGTTTTTTGTCTATGGTATGGTTCAGACGTTGTCTGGCTTTGTTTTTCCCTCCTTGGTTATCTTGGTGTGCTACTCGCTGATGCAGAGGAGCCTGACCAAACCAGAGGAGACCCTGGAGAGGACAGGCAGTGCAGCCCGGGCCAAGTGCATCTGGACCGTCCTGCTGGTGTGCAGCCTCCTCACCCTCTGCTTCGTGTCCTTTCACATCACTCGCTCCTTCTACCTCCTACTGCGCTTCCGGATGTCCCAGGACTGCCAGCTCCTGCAGGTCGCCAGTGTGGCCTACAAGATACGGAGGCCGCTGGTGAGCATGAACAGTTGCCCCACCCGGTCCTGTATTTCCTGTGAACCATAGGGTCAGGCTCTTCCGGAAACCGAGGCATAACAGGGTGGGTGAGCACCCAGCGGGAGCCAAGGGAGAGAGACCCAGGGTGGGGCATATCTGGGTCCTGTCGAGATGAAGTTTGGGGAAGAGGAGCTTCCTGACAGTGACCATGACTTGTTTGAACACAGCCATGTCACCTAGGAGTGTCCTGCTGGAAAGGACTTTATACTGATGTTAAGAGATTTTAAAAGAAGAGTATGGAATCACCAACACAAAGGAAAACTTTATTTTAATGAGAGCTGACACTTATCTCTTGTCATTCAGGTTTCTCAGCTTATATGTCACCTCCTCAGAAGTCACTCCAGCCCACCAGAGCTAATGTTGAACACTCTACCCATAATCCAGTCACTGTACTTCCCTATTGTCTTGTTAACACTTATTAGTACCTCGACTCGTTAGTTTACTGATTTCTGATTTGTCTCTACCCCCTAGACTACAGGCTCCTACAGGACAGGGACCTCGTCTGTCTGACTGCTGTACCTCTACTGCCGGTCTCCACAGCAGGGCCCAAAACAGTGAGTGCGTGATAGAACGGGGTTGTATGAATAAGTGAAGGGGTTAGTGGATGGGAGAGTGAATTACGATGTAATTACTATCAGTCACTATGTAAGAGCACTTTCCATGGAGTAACTCATTTAACACAACAGTCCTTGGAGGTGGGAGCTGTTGTTCGTCCCATTTACACATGAGGGAACCAAAGCACAGAGCTTTAAGTCCCTTGTCCAAGATCACCGAGCTGCAGAAGGCCCAGATCCCAGTGCTGAATGGAAGCTCTACCCGGGAACTGGCCTCTGAAGTTCATGCTCCGTAGACTGAAGCCGATGGCTCCATCCAAAGGCTGATCAAGAGCCAGCCAAGTTCTGCTCAACGGGATCAACTCCTTGTTTCAGGTCAGCTCACTTTTTTACATAATTGCTGTTACCTGCAGACCACTGGGTATACAGCCTGAGCTCTTTTACTGCACTTGTTAACCAGTGTTCCAGGTGAGGTTAGAAAAAGCTCTTCAAGGTAAAGTGGAGATACAGTACTAAGTGACTCTATGAATAATGGTTTTTATCTGACCATGTCTCAGTTTAGATAGAAAAGTTTGCCACTGTCTTATATCATGTTCATTCTCTTAAAAAAAAATGAAGATCCAAGGTGATAAAAAAAAAACCTTTAAAAAGCCTCTCATATTAAAACAATAATGATCTCCAAAGAGTTCTCAGATCTAAACATACATGACTTAAGAATTCATTAGAATCTCTCTGTGAAGAGGTGGATAAACCTTTTTTATAAAAACTGAAGTGTAACTCCTCATTACTACCCTGCTCTAATTAAAGAAAATGTCTGAGTAAACCATACATATGTCTAAGTGATAAAATTTTATTCTAAAAGTACAGCTTATCACTTTCAAGGGCACACAATAATTAGAGCTAGACTAAGTGTTGCCCTGAAGAATTCCTTAGATAATTAGTTTAATGAATAAGCAAGGATGTTTTCTAATTAGCAGGTCAGCTGTTCGCACATAAGTATGTACAAGTGCTTCTACAGTAGCTGAGAGCTTAAAACTGTTTGCTCTTCTGAACATTCTCTTAGCTCTCTTGCTTATCTTATTAGTTAATGTATCTTTCTTTGCATAACATACAAGATTCAGCCAGCCCCGAGTCCCAATTATTTATCAGCCCTTGTCAATTAGCTAAGTTGAACATTGCCGGAGAACTGGTGCTCCAGGCTCCCCCACAAAGAGCTCTAAGCCACCCCACATCCCATTTAGCCATGACCTCTGATGCCCGCCAGCCTGCCACCCCTGGAATTGGGAAGCAAATGAACCTAGAGTCCTCAGGATGCATCACCTTTATCTAAAGAGCAAGAGCCTCAAGCCCCCAGCAGTTTTCCAGCCCTTAGTCCCTGTTAACCCATGCTTGCCGTTGCTTCTCCAATCCATACAGTGCTAATTTTGCTTCAGTGAAGTCTTTTGAGCTTCTTAACAGCAAAGCATAAGCACCCATAGGCATCCATTTCTGGCTTACTTCTGAATAGTTGGGATCAAAAACTTTTAACTTAGCTGACATTGTATCCTAGTTTTCAGGGACAGTTATCTCAAGACACAAGAAACAAACTAGACCACTCCCTCTGGGGAAAGGGCTTCTTTGTAAGAGGGGCATGTGTCCAACATAAGTCAAGAACATACATTTGGTTCTCCTGTGGTTTTCAGAAACCCATCTACAGAAGGGGACAAGGAAACTAGAAGAAACTAAAGCTCTCCCTGAATCTACCCATGCAATGGCCACCACCCTGGTAGAAGCTGGGATCCCCAAACATGTTAACCCTCTGGGTCCTGAGATCTTGCATGATCTGCTTAGTAGCTCAGCAGGTTAAAATAAAATCAAAGGTCAGTGACTATTATCATGTTCAAAATACCATGAATGGGGAGCTGTCCAGGATGCAAATATAAAGGCTGTATCCACCTACCAAAATATCAAGCATGGTGCCAGCCCTTAAGGAGGGACCACTGGAGGGACAAAACAAAAACAAGCCAACAATATTCAAGCTAACTAACAATTTCAGCAACTACAGAAGAAATCATGTCAGTTATCCATTACTCCAAATGAACAATACAGACAAGACAGTGTGAACCAGGGAAGTTTGCGGGAGGGGAGTGAGAGCACTTTCAGCTCAGAAAGCCAAAAAAGGTATGATGAGTCTGCTGAAGGCTGTATGAAATTTCAACGATCAGAATTCCCCAAGCAGTGGAGAAAACAAAAATGTTTGTGAGAGCCACTGGTTGGTTCCTGAAGGAGAGGAGGTGGAGACAAAGCTGGAAGGGTGGGCACCCCAAACCCAGAAAAAGAACCCCTCTTCAAGGCACAGGGAACCACCAAGGGCATCTGAGCAGGAGAGTGAGATGGGACTGAGAAACTTAATCTGGCATCTGCTGTGATTAAATGGATTAGAAGAAAGAAACAAAATGTGACAACCCAGTGCTTCAAGGTCTCCACACTGGTCTTCTCTTCAACGACATCCCACGTAACGCCTCCAGATTTCCTTGAACACAACACTTTTCACACATCACACCCTCCCCAACCTTGTCAGTCTCCTCCCTATGTCATCACTTCTACACACCCAGTCTCTCCTGCGGGCACCCCAGGCCCATCACTGTCTAGTCCCAAGTGAACTTTCCAACTCACAGCTCTCCTACCACCCTACACGGACTTCTCTGCCTCACCTGTTTACCACAGGGCCACCACCTGCCACTCAACACCCACACCCAAAACAACCCCTTCTCCATTGCCTAAGTACTCACCTTCCCAGACTACGAGTTCTGCTTCTTCCAGCTGCCTCCACTCTGCACTGACTTACCAACCTGGCCCACAGGGCTTCTCACCTGGGAGCTGACGATGGGCTCCTTTACCCTTTCAGTCTGCTTTCCCTCCCCTACTATTCAATTGTTCAGTCTATACAACATGGCATCCTAGCAACATGCTGAACACGGCAGACACTCAGTGAGCAATGGTGCTGCTGATGAAAGAGGAAGGTGACCAGCGTTTAGAAGTCCACTGGTGATCCAAACACACAGATAATGGGCATGAGTAGAACTAAAAAGATTTTAACATACTGGAAAGAACGAAGAGAAATAAAATGATTATTTAGACATGAATAGTAAGGGAGACTTAAAAATGACTTTGAGATTCTAAGTCTAAGAAACAAAAAGAACACTAGCACCTAGCACATAGTATGTGTTCAACAGTCACTGGGGAAAGGAAAAGAATGAAAGGGAGGGAGTGAAGGAGGAAGAGAGGAAGAGAACGAGACTGCATTGTGGGGGACAGTTCAGATTCAAGACAGGTTCAATGTGAGCTGCTAGCAAGACAAGTTGGAGATGGAGGATGGAGGATCAGAGTCAGCTGAGGTTCAAGCTCTGGATTTAGAGTTACCTGTCCAGGCAAATAAATGAAGCTGTAGACAAAAATGCCATCTCTGAGGAAGAACAAAAAAGAAAGAACAAAGAACCTAGGAGATACTGGAATCAAGGAATACAGGAATAGGAGGTGGTAGCAGATGATAGAGCCCTGAAAAATCACAAGGGGGAACAGTTTCAGCAGAGAGTAATCAAAGGCGTCACTTGAAACAGACCAGTCAAAAAAGAATGAACAGTTGTCTCTCAGCAAACTCACATGCCACCTCTTCTAAGAAGCCACCTCTTCTAAGCCGCCTCCCTGACCACCCATCTGAAGGCCCTATTCCCTCTCTGACTCATCCTCTGTACCTCTTAAGGGACATCTCCCCTTCCACCCGGTTTGAGCAGCATTACTGAGACCCCCACCTCCCCTCCCAGAGATCCAGCAGAGGCTTGAACATACGCACACTCACTAAAGCTTTGTGGAATAAATGAATATATAGCAAACAATGCTCCTGTGTAAGCTTTTCTGGAATTACCGTCTAAATTCAATTTATAAATGTGTGCCTATAAAACTAAATCACAAGTTGTTTGGGATTTATTTGTTCTAACACCAACTCCAATCCCAGGACACACAATACCTACAAGCATTCTCACTTTTTAGCCCACATTTCAAAGACAATACAGAGGAGGAATTTTTCGCCAAGTCATTTGCAATTAAGCATAACCTAAGCTTATAAAGTTGTGTGTTCTCATTATCTTTTACTTTCTTGTAAACAAGCCAAATCTCTTTAGTATTTCCATTTCTCAACTTTCTGTTGAGGGTTTTTTGTTTTGTTTTATTTTTTTAATGTATCCAACAGCTTCAAAGGTAATGGCCTTGAGAAGAATTCCATGATAAGAGCAGAACTTATGTTCTTGAAGCAAGCTATAACTGGGCATTTTTATAGCGGTTGAATCATGAACAAAAAAGCACAAAGTGCCACTCCAAGAAAATTAACGAATCATGGAGTCTGAGAGTGTTCCGCTCTGCAAGTAGAAAAACACATTAACAGTAAGACCTTTATAAAGTATTAAAGCAACAATCAAAGAAACAACCACTCGAGACCCTTTATATTCTCTCTTCTTTTATAGCCTAGTTCCCTGCAAGGGTAAGCTACGTTTTGGGGGTTTTTTTTGCAAGTTCTACCTTGAAT